CGTTGAAAGTCCAAACCTTTCCAGACCTAACAGACACTCTTCTTTTTGTCAGTCTTGAGCCAAAGTTCACAAAGTGCAGGGAAATCATCGAGACGATCTGAAAGGAATCCCTTTAAGGGAATTCCACAAGCTTCCAAAACCACAGAGGATGGGGATCATAACTCCCTATCACTCCGAAGCAAAACAACGAAACAAGCTAATCCAAAACATGATAAACACTCATGTATCCACAGTGCTGCTCACTGTGTGGCGAAACCAGCCCTTTGCCTGTTAATGCAAATAACCGCGCCCTACACCCTGCTTCTCCCGCGCCCACAGCAAGTCAGCAACAGCTCTGCAACAGCGAACTGTGCTTGTTGCGATGCCCTCTCCCTAGCTAGTAATAGGTTAGTAAGAGCGAGATGCCGATGGTGCGAAATCTCCACCGTTTTCGGGTCCTGTCGCCAGAGTGACAAAATGTCCAGGCGGCCTCTCAGACTGCTGCCTAAACCCAAAAAAACTGCTGCCTGAAACTTTACCGGAAGGACCAGCAGTGACTTGGGTTTTTTGCCTAACGGCAAAATGGGGGTGCGAAGCACTCTCCCGCTATGTCTGTAGCCTCCGAGAAAAAACTGCGCAAGAAGCAGAACAGAGACCTTACAGTTGCAGAGTCCATCAGTTGCAAAATCCATGAAACTCGACGTCTCAGCTGCAGTATAACAAAGTAAACCAAAACCTCTGGTCTCTAGAAGCCGCCAGCGTCAAGCGTCAAACGATTCACCAATATATAGAAGCCGCAAGGGTCAAACGATTCACAACACTATAGAACAACAAATATTCAGATAACATACAAAAGCAAAATCAGAGACCATCACTATGCCAAAGAATGTTGGTACAAGGATGGTGATGTGCCCAACGTCCAAAGCCTTGAGCACAGGAGGTGTTTGCAGGGCCGCCAGCGGTGTCACGAGCAAAGCAGCTGGGTCGGAGTTTGGTGTACTCTGGAGCTTTCACATAAAGTCAGATCAGAGCATCCACTGCCCTGATGCGATGGTTGAGTGCAGGGGTCTTTTGTGATTCCATGAAGTGCCTCATCGTATCCCATGGTTTCAAACTTTAAAACAACAGACGCTGTGACATGCAATAGTCCGACACGATCCAGCACAAGTTCTTTTGTACGTTGAGACTTGATAAAAGGTTGCAGTACCTCGAACCTGGGCCTTGTCGCCTTGGCTCGTGGACAGAGGCGAGCAGCTGTCAAAGATTTCATGCGAAAGGACCCAGCAGGTGCTACAAAAACACGATGGGTCCGCTTGAAGGAAGCGATTCCAAAATATTTTCAGTGCCGTTGAAGACGGCCAATGACGGAAGTCTCCGGCTGGTGCAGGGCATTCCTTGGCCGCAGCAGATCCTTGCAGCAGTTCCAATGCCAGCAGCATCAAACTTTAGACTAGTCTATACCCCTCCAATCCCCTCCATCTTTTCCTTCATTGAAATCGCTGTGCATGCGCTTCCCTTGAGCGGCGAGCACTCGGGCCCCTACCGACAGTGCTACGGCTGTCATTGCCCTTTGCCAGACCGTGGCAGCAGGCCAGCGTTCCAGATTTTGAAGATGAATGTTGACTAAACCCCCCTGCCGCCCCGTCTCAATCGATTTTTTGTTTCTCCCTCGACCCCCTATTGAGGGGGTCGGGGGGGAAACAAAAGTTTCTCTGCTGCTTAGGCTTTGGGGTTTAGGGTTTTAATCACTGTTAGGCCTCGGTTTTCGGGGTTGGTTCTAGGGCTCCAGGCTCGCTGGTTTAAGAAGGGCAGGTCTCTATAGAACAAAAACAGCTCCCATAGAAAGAAACATCGGGCCCTGGACCGAGGTTTCTGATTGAGGGGGGGTTTGTAATTGAGTTCCGGGCTTGGGGTTTCTTAATTGAGGGGATTTCGGAATACGAGCGACCAGGGATTGCGCGTCATTGGCAACGACTGCTCCCCCAAGTTGTGACATAAACGGCCACGCTCGACTCGAAGGGTCCTTTGGTGTTGTGGGATATTGGGCAACATCTTTATGTTTTGGTTTAGCGGGCCAGGCTCCTCTAACTCCGAGGGCTCGTAAAATAATCGCTGGAGATGCATGGTTGTGTGCTGTCCGGAATGTGTTCACGGCTCGAAAATAGAAATGAAGCGGCTGCGTTCCTGGTCGTGCGGAAGCCCCCGCCACCTTGTGCAGTGTCTGACGTTTCACCTCCCTCAGGGCCCTCACCGTCCTCACCTTAAACCTGGCTTTACTTGTGAGCAGCTGTGATAGTGTGGCCAGGAACATGACTTTCACATCGCCTCCTTGCAAGAACTCGACATTAACCAACTCTCCCGCCCAGGATAGCCGGATAGCCAGCTCGAAAATGGCTGGCAAACCCAGAGCTTCCACATTGCGCTCAGTGCCCTCGAGGCCGGCCCAAGTTTGCACAGAGTTGAACTTGTGTCTCGCCCGAGAAAGGAAGCAGGATCCGGGACTGTTCGCGACAGACACGTGAGGGACACACCCCGAACCTAAGTTCCATGATTCGTGTCGAGTCGTGCGTTGCGCCGTTATGTTCGCGGCGTACATGTCAGGTGCTTTTTGAATTCTGCCAGGCGCTTCCGTAACCTCCCCAAATAAAGCGAATCCAAGCCGACGCTTGCGATTGTATGTGCAGCAGGCTCCCGTTTTGCTGAGGCGTGGAGTGCTCGTGCGACTCGTGCTCCTGGCTTCGGCCTCCTTGGCCCAGGCCAGTGTGCAAGGGATGTAAGGACATTCCAGGCAGCTCCGCGGTAGGAGCCGAGAAGCTGTATGGGCTGACAGGAAGTAGAGCGAATAAAATGCGTTTGATTCTGCAGGAAATTATCCATTCAACTTCAGTACTTGTGGATTTCTCGGCCGAAGCTAAACGTCCCTTGCAAATTCGGCATCTGGGCCAACAGCAAAAACGGCGCCGGATCCTGGGAATTCTCATTCAGAGCTTCAGACCGCAGAAGTGCCTGCCATCAACAGTCGAAGCCTTGAGCACGACCAGTAGCTGCGCTGGTGGGGAGTCAGCCAGAAGTTAGGGACATCGCATAAGTAGAAGTTAGCTCGCCATAGGACAGTTGTGACTTTGTGTCCGAAAACACCTTCCTTAGTTGTTTGTTTTTTGGTGCGTGCTGACGGACTGTGACTATTTTTCTTGGTGACATGTTTACGCTTTTCCAGACCTCTACCTGAAACGCAGCCTACTGACGCGGAGTGGCAGTCGGCGGGCCATGCGTGGCCGACCACGCTTCGGTCGAAGATGCGTCTCGACCGTCAGTATTCTCTCCCCCCGCTCACGCGCGTGCACGCATGCGCGTCGCGCCACGCGGGCGCATGCATGTGTAGTACGTATGCGTGTGCGTGCCATTCTCTCTTGCAAGCCGGCTGTTGCAGTGATGACATGGAGGAGATACCGGCGAGTGAAATTGAATGGCGGCCGCTCAGTTCCGGCATGACCTCGGGTAAATTCTCATTCAGCTGGGAATGCATGCATCTTATGGGGCTTGGTAGGAGAAAAACACACGATGCGAGAGGACAAGAGACTAAGAAGATAGAGAGATGACATGCAGAGAGAGAGAGAGTTACAAGAAGAAGATGAGAGAGAACTGAAAGGAATTGATGAAGGGTAGATTCGCGGGAAATGAAAGAGAGATGCACTAGGACATGTGAGCGGGCGTCTTTGGGGCCCTGAAGCCTTGAAGAAGAAGGAGAAGAGGGAGAGGGAGAGGGAGGAGGAGGGGAAGAGGAGAGGGAGCGGGAGAAGGAGAGGGAGAAGGAGGGGGAGGGGGAGAAGGAAAGGGAGAGGGAGCGGGAAATGTGAACGAGACGAGAGATACACATTCAAACGGAGCTGTACAAACCGACGCTACGTACCAAAATTCGCCTATGTAGAAGTCTTTTGCTTCTGTCCTTACGCTGCTGGTGCCCCCAGGCAGCTCGCAGGAGTTTAGAGGCTTCATTATGCTGTCCCCATCAAGCTGTGACCGAAAATGCTGTTATCGCGTTGGTTGATGGACGCGATGCAGAATGAGGGTTGTCCTGCCAGCCGTGAAACATTATGTCCAGTCCCTGTAAAAGTCATTCAAACGTCCTTCCAGCTGCTGCCCGTGCTTATTTGCAATATAGAACCCATTTGTTGGTGGGTGTGTCAGTCATGGTGCATATGTTTGAGGTTCCAAGGGCAAGCTGATACCCCATTCTCTTGCATGTGGGTTGTATTGCAGTGATGAAGGAGGCATCGCCCAGCGAATGGCGGCAGCTTCATCCCGGCGGCGACATCCCTTATAGTCGCACACAACATCAGACTGTATGGAGCACGTTCCATGAAGGGCTTTACGTTTTCGGCGGCTTGGGCAATCCCAATCCCAACAGCAGCTACGGCCATGGCCTCTGTTGCGTGCATGCTGTGTCATGCTGTGTTATGCTGTGTTATGCCGTGTTGCCGGCTCTGTGGAATGAGGCCGTTTCCAGGACCTCCACTTCTATGATCCTGAGGCTGGGAATGTTATGCCCCTGTTTACAGCTGCTTGGTCAGGAGCTATACTATACACCGGGCGAGGGGGAAACGGGCAAATCAAAGCTGCGAAGTGTGCTGCAAGGCGAACGTGTGGGAGAAACTTGCCGACTTCCCCCTCAGCTTTACTGATGGATGTGCTGTTGTGAGTGCTGGCACTGATGGGCTCTATGGAATATGCAGAGGTCCTAGCTTTTTTGAACAAGAGACTGGCTCTGCTTGCCTTTGATCTGAGAGTGACATCTGAGATTGTGCTTCTTTCTCCCTGAGGTTCGAGTCTCTTCTTCTACAGTCGCCAGGCGCAGTTGTCTCACAACCGCACTCTACTTTCATCAAAATCCTTTAAGACCCTTTCGCCACTCTTTGAGACGCAGAGAACTCTGAGCGAAAAGCTGAGCTCTTTAGCTGCTCTCCAGGCGAACGCATGGCATCAGCTGACGAGTGCGCGCTCGGGTTTAGCTTTTTGGAGCCATGCTGACAACGGCATTTATATCGTCTACTCTTCCGGAAATGGTCTCGCCGACTCAGCTTCTTCTGCATCTCGTGGCATGGGAGCAGAGTGCAGAGTGCAGAGTGCCAGGCCCGCTGGAGCATGTCTACTTCTACACCCAAGAGGCCATATCTCTCTCCCACACGGCATGTGCATGGTCAGCGCCGTCTTGAATCAAATAGAGGAAGACCAGTTGCCTGAGAATGCAGAGGAAAAGCACTGATGAAGATGAAGAAAGGAAAAACGAGACAGGTAGAGCGCCAAGGAGTGACGAGAAATAACAAGGAGACAACTTGTGCAAGAAACTGTGGGGGATGGCAAAGCCGTGCCATGAGGCGAACACCTGGCAATATCTTGAAACCGGCGGCGAAGCACCAGAATGCTGCGGTTTCAGGGGTGGTTGGAGTGAAGATGCCTACGGGATCTACGGCCTTGGTGGCTGGAATCCGGTCCGCGGTCCTCGCCTTGAGATTTGCCCATAGGTTTAGGCTTGGGCTCCTGATCCTGTTGTTGGAGCTGAGGCTTTATGAGCGACCTCTACTTCTACAGCCGGCAGGCACGATTCCATGCACCCAGTGCAGTATGAAGGCCTACGTACTTTCGGCTGCTAGTAGACGCTTAACAGCTCATCCGCTGAAACATCGAGTGATGTCGGGTGAAACGTGGGGATGTACGAAGGCCAAGTTTTCGGGGCTCCAGTAGATTCGTTCTGGAACCAACTTGGTGTCCTGACTGATGACAAGGTGGCACAAATCGTGTAGACAGGTGATGACAGGCAGACAGCACCTGTAGATGCAATGAAAGCCAAGTCCAGCAACGGAACCGAATGACCTTGCACAAAGTAGCAATTCTGATTTACGATATTTGCGCTGTTGTTGCATTTGAAGTTTGAAAGCAACCATATACGCATGCTATCACAGCGACGAATGCAGGCAAGCCACACATAGGACCCGGCATGTGTTGCGTTGCGTTCCAGGTGTCAACCCTGCTCCAAATTCTCCAGAATCATGCGGTGTTTTTAACCACCAGGATGTTGACTCATGAATTTCTGTGTGAATGCCTGAGAATGCTCCTTATCATGCTAGAGGTTCCACCATGTGCGTTTGGCAGTTTCAGAGCTCATGGGAGGCAAATGCATGGCAGCTGGTGACCCCGGATGGTGATTCTGTCGGCGGCCGTACCGATCATGCAGCCGTCTGGGCCGAGACGCCTGACGGGCTGTATGTCTTTGGCGGGCGAATTTCTAGACCGTATTATTTGAACGACCTGTACTTCTACAGCCGCCAGGCATGGAGGGAGGACTTCGATTGGACTTGTGCAGTCATGCTGCGTTTCTTACCGAGTCTGACGCATGAAGCCATGCATCAGCATGGCCTTGAATGTACAAGGCTACTACTTGTAGGCTGGTAGGGGAGAGGCCCCCCCCCCCCCCCAAAAAAAAAAAAAAAAAACTGGCCCAGAGGATCGTGTTCTGGCTCTCGAAATGTCTTGAGGTTGAAGGTAGTAGAAAAAATTCTCTGTGGCCAGGCAAACAGGTGGTCTCAGCTGGCGTTGCCTGATTCTCCTAGCGAGCGCGCCTTTGCAAGCGGGATTGGAGCGGCCTGGGTGGAAGCTGTCCAAACTCTGTACATATTTGGTGGAGAGAACGATTTCGGCAGGGGCCCCGGCAGTGACGGTGCTGGGGACAGCCGCAGATTGGATGAAAGGCACTATGTCTGCATCGGAGCTGAGGTAACAGGAATGACCTGTATGTCTTGGCTCCCGAGGCCCGTTGTGTACAGAGAGAAGCCAACTTAGTACTGCCACTCTGCGGCCGGTTCTTCTGTATCCGATTCCCCTAACTCGCTTCGAACTGTAGTCTCCTTGGCATGCATGCCTCTAGTGCGGGGTGGTATGATTTCAAAAAAAAAAAAAAAAATATATATATATATGTATATGTATAATCGCATTGCTCAACATCCCTTGCTTCTCCAAGTCTTCCTTTGCATTCCAAGACTGCGTGTCAAGAAGCTTGATGCAGGTTTCGTGCCAACATGGGTTCTACGTTGCAGCGAACGGAGCATGTGAGCCATGCCCCGTGGGCACCTTCACCAAGGTACTGAACACGTGTCATCCATGCAATTCTGACTTTCCAGGTTCCACCACACCAGGAGTTGGAGCCACGAATGCGACCATGTGCATTCGCCCACAGGATGGTCTAGATCTTCAGTGCACATCTGGCATTCCTTGCTCCGTGACAATCAGCGGATTTAGCCTGCAAGATGGACATCGCCTGGCTCTGACAGAGTCTGACAGCTGTCAGGGTCCGCTTCGGGCGGTATCAAACCTTCCAGACGAGGGAGCATCCAGAGATGCCAGCGAGGGCGTGTATGTCTGGGGGAGCACGGGATCCGAGTTTGCACCAGAGGGCGGCGCGTACCAGGCGGGTGCTGCATGATGTGGGCATGAACACGTGTCTAGTTGCATTGCCCTTGGCACATCTAACCCAGGTCCGTGCGTTAAGCGGGATTAAGCTTGTTGAGCAAACATTGACGTGGAAGCCAGATGGCAATAGAAGACGATACCCAGGTCTGCTGGTGTGCTAACATTCATGGCATCGTCTGCGACAGTTTGCAGCTGTTCCAGATACCCGTTGGCCAACTCCAGGCGAGGACCAGCATCAAGATTAGTAGCTATTTATTTTTCTTTGCCTCTTCCTTTTGGTCATTCCAGAAGAACATGCAGGGTGATGTTGATGTTGGTGATGATTGTTGTTCTTTTCCTTACTCGTTGTAGCAATACTGTTTTTTTCAAGACTGGCTTGGCCCTGACGGGCGGTCACGGGCGCCCATGATTTTTGCCAGCCGCAGCACACTCAATTTTGTATGAGTGCAAGGTTAGAATTCACGATGTGGCCAACGCGTAAGTGATGCTACTCATTCATGATCTGAGGGTCTTGCGCAATTGCTTCCGTTAGCACACGCTTTGCATGAAACACCCTTTTCAGACACTTTTGCGTTGTGTGCTTTCTTGAAGCAGGTCGTCAGCTCCAAGCAGCTCGCTCTGTCAATGACAGAGGAGTCTCTGAAACAAAACGAACCCATTAGCCCCATTTACGGTTGCTTTGTCTCGAATCCGTTCACACTTGACTTCCAGCACTCCGTTTCTGTTCATCGGGTTGAGATGGTGGCTGGTACTGGCCGTGTTTGTGAATGTACGTGCCGTTGAAATCGAGAAAGTCCGCGTTGAAATCTAGAAAGGCGGCTGAAGGCTTGTCTGCAAAGGAGTTCGGGATCAGAGTCGTCATTTTTATTCAGGGGCTCTTAGGGTTGAGGTTTGAGGGTGGTCAGGGGGGCCTTCGCGTATGTTGAGGGGTCGTCAAAGGGTCTGGCGCTTGGTGTCCTGTCCGGTCCCTTGAAGGTTGAAGGCCACCTGGGAACCCGGGTCTGGCCTAGGCGGTCTGTGTAGGCTGGCGGTCTTGCGTTGGAGGTAGGTGTGAGGACATGTGTCTTTGAATATCCCTGAAATGTGTCTTGGATGTCCTTGAAACAGTGTTGGTGGTTGGCCGGCTTGCCACAACTCCAGGTGCTGGGGCCTTCGAGCACTCACTTCTTCTGGTGTGTGCGCGGCAGAGACTGCACAGATCTCCAGAAGTTGGAAGGTGTAGGTTTGTCCTCCAGAGACCAGGTCGCTCTTCGGAGCGCTGGTTGTGGATCTGCAGCCTTCCAGCAAGTTTCGCCGAAGAACGTGAATGGCATTGCTAACATCACTAACTCTTCTGACACGCTGAACGAGTCTAACCTGACATTGTCCTTCGGGACATCGAACCTGCAGCAGGGAATCGACTACCGAGTATCCGTTAATGCGAACGAAGTTGGACATGATCTTTGCTGGTGTGGACGCGGAAGCTGCAATGCAGAAGACTTTGCAGTTCCTTTCGGCAAGCTGCGTGTGCTTGGGCCATTTGCTGGTCAAGAGGCGAGATGCATGCAGGGGCAAACTTGTCAGGTGCAGCTGGAGGGTGCCTTGGATGGTTTTGGACGCTTTGTTTTGTGGTGTCACCATCCTTGCGTCTTTGAGATAGTCCTTGATACAGACTCATAGGACGCATATAGGGGTTGCTCATGATGCACCGATGCCTGAAGATTCAAGAAAGACATGCTTTCGGTGCTTCATTCCATTCAGGTGTCAGCCTTCTGGCTGGCGACCGCCTCACTTTCCTGTTCGAGTGCGGCCAGGGCCCATTCCTTATAGGTCTTCCTGGGCAGTATGCCGAGACATCCGATGCAGTGAGCTTTCTCTTTCGGGATGCCAGTGGTGCCCACCTCTTCGCAAGTTTACCAGGTATCTACACCATGTGTTGGTGCAGGCCTCACAGCAGCACAAACTGCGAGGCTGCCAGCGACTTCCAAGTTCTTGCAGGCTTGGTTCGAGTGACTGGACCTCTGTTGGGTCAGACCTTTCATTGCCAGTTCTCCTCTCTCTGCAATATTTCTGGCTTGCAAGGTTCAGGCCTTGCAGTTGGGGACGAGCTGTTGCCCATGCAGGAATGTGGCACTTCGAGCCTGTCCGCAACTTTCCCAAGTGCGCAGCCATTTTATGCGATTTCCGAGCCGACTGCAGCTGATGACTTGGCAGACAAGATCACCTTTAACCTTGGGCTGTTGCCGTTGCAGGGGGCTTCTCCTGAGACTGTCCAACTGTGTTGGTGCCCTTCTTCTGCAAAATGCCAGATGTCGGAATATCGTGCTGCAGCAGTGCACTTGCAGATCTCTTGCCCTCCTGGTACCTACGAGCTAGTGGGGAGGTCGAGAACATGCCAGGCATGTCCTCCAGGCTCTTACTGTCCTGGAGGGCCGGACGGCAGATTGGAGCATTGCCCGCACGGGAGCACTTCACCTGTGGAGTCAACCGCGAAGCAGGACTGCAGCTGTCGCCGTGGCTTCGGCTGGGATTCGCAGCTCGAAGTCTGTTTGCCTTGCCCTGCCGGATCCTTCAAGCAGCTGGTGGGCAACCAGCACTGCGACGCCCAGTGTCCCCAAGACACCACCTCCTCGGCAGGAGCCATCGGTGAGTTACAGTGTTTCTGTGCAAGCGGAAAGGCGGACACGGACCCATCGCCAGCCTTTAGCTGCACAGATCTCACAGCCAGCTTGGTTGAGATGCCGAGGCCTGCTGAGGCCGCCATTTTCTCTTTCACTGGAAACATTCATGTGGAGCCGGGGCGTCTTCCGGAGCTACAACCTCTGCTAGAGGAATACGTGGAATCAGAGACTGGGCGAGCATCGCTCAGTGTTGTGGCTACATCGGTGGACGTCAGGTACACTCTCTCCAGCTATGAGGAGGAGGCCGTGCGTGAAGCACATGCCAAGTTCCTGGCAGACCCTTTCGAGGCCTGGGCCATCAAACTTCCAGGTGAGTTGGCGCTCATCACTGCGAACAGCGCGGCTATCACCAACGAAAGCATCAGCTGCCCGGAGACATGGAACTTTCCACCTGGGCCCATCCGAAGTTTGGCCGATTGCCGGTGCTCCTATGGCATGGAGCCTTCTGCTGACCTTTGCAGGAGATGCCCTTTGGGCACCTACAAGGGGATGGTTGGTACTTCAAGCTGCACAAGTTGCCCGGAAGCAGGCGGCGGCCTCAACCTCGTCCGGACTACCTTACGAGAGGGTGCAGTGTCCGCTGGAGAATGCGTCTGCCCAGCCGGATACATGAGTCCGGATTCCACCAATTCTGATTGCCAGCCCTGCGAACAGGGTTTTTTCTGCTTTGGTGGCCGCCAGGAACCTTGCCCACCATTGACGATCACCCGGGCCCAAGCCGCCAGCAGCGTCACGGACTGCATCTGCGAACAGGGCTTCTTCGCTTCGGTATCAGGTGTTTGCGAGCCTTGTGCTCCGGGCAGGTTTAAGCCGGAGGCTGGCAACGCCGAGTCGGATTGCCAGACATGCGCGGCTGGAACGTGGAGCAACACATCCGGAGCAACCTCACACACAGCCTGCATCCACTGCATCCCAGGATCCACCACGAAGAATGACACAGCTACAGAGGAAGATCTATGCATTCGTCCACTTCCTGGGCAGATGCTGCGGTGCACTGCTGGCCGCACATGTGAGGTTCGCATCGCAGGGCACCAGCTACATGATGGCCACCGTATGGCCCTCACCTCCAGTTCTGGCTGTAGCAGTGCCAACCAGCCTGTACCCAATGTGGCAAACGAGGGCGTGTCGCAGCCCGCATCTGATCAAGGCCAACGGTATGCCTGGCAGGGGGATACGAATGCCATGGACTTCGCCCCTCCGGGAGGCTACTACAGTCTTTGCTGGTGCGCCGACCTACCTGGGCTCAGCTGCACAAGCTTGGAAAGCTTCCAGATTGAAGCAGGGCGTCTTGAAGTCGTGGGGCCTTTCGCGAACCATGACTTTGAGTGCATTCGCGGCATGGACTGCAGCAGCGGCCTAAAAAAATTTCAGGGCCAGGGCCTCTCCACCAGCGACTCCGTAGCCATGAAAGCTACCTGTGGAGCTGGCAGCTTAGAGATCTCTCTTGCCAACACACACGGCCTTGGAAACCTCAGCGATGATTTCGAGCTGAGCTTTGGGGTTTCTGGCGCTTCCGAGAATTTCGGCTTGTCCATTGACGCAGACGATCGTGGGTACCAGCTGTGCTGGTGTGGAGGCACGGCAGGGGGGACAGTTGCGAGGGCCCTGGGCTGTTGACGAAGCTGTGTGAAGCATTTCTTGACAGGTGCGGGCGCTTGCCAAGATGCAGACCACGTAGTTCCAGCCGGTCGAGTGCGTGTACTCGGGCCATATGTCGGTCAAGAGGCCCGATGCCTGCAGGGGCAGATCTGCGAGGTGCGGGTGGACGGCGTCTCGGCATTCGTGATTTCGATCTCATCTAAGATGTTTAGGCGTTGCGCATGGACAGATGCTCGAAGATTCAGGGGGCCCACTTTAAGGTTTCCCTTTGTTTTGTTAAGGTGTGAGCCTTGGCCCTGCGGACCGCTTGGCTTTCCTGTCAGAGTGTGGCCAGGGCCCATTTCTTGCAGGCCTCCCTGGGCAGTATGCAGAGACATCCAATGGAATCGACTTTCTCTTTCAGGATGCCAAGGGCAACAGGCACCTCTTCGCAAGTTTTCCGGGCATCTACACCATGTGCTGGTGCAGGCCTCACGGCAAAGCAAACTGCGAGGCTGCCAGCGACTTCCAGGTTCTTGTGGGCTTGGTCCGACTTACTGGGCCTCTGCTGGGTCAGGCCTTCCAGTGCTTCTTTTCCATTAACTGCACGGTCTCTGAGTTGCAGGGATCTGGACTTGCAGTTGGGGACCAGCTGTTGCCCATGCAGGAATGTGGCACTTCGAGTCTGTCTGCGACTTTCCCAAGTGCACAGCCATTCTATGCTTTTCATGAGCAAGGTGCTGATGGCGAAGACAGGATCACCTTTAACCTTGGGCTGTTGCCGTTGCAGGGGGCTTCTCCTGAGACTGTCCAACTGTGTTGGTGCCCTTCTTCTGCAAAATGCCAAATGTCGGAATATCGTGCTGCAGCAGTGCACTTGCAGATCTCTTGCCCTCCTGGTACCTACGAGCTAGTGGCAAGGTCGAGAACATGCCAGGCGTGCCCTCCAGGCTCTTACTGTCCTGGAGGGCCGGACGGCAGATTGGAGCATTGCCCGCACGGGAGCACTTCACCTGTGGAGTCAACCTCGAAGCAGGACTGCAGCTGTCGCCGTGGCTTCGGCTGGGATTCGCAGCTCGAAGTCTGTTTGCCTTGCCCTGCCGGATCCTTCAAGCAGCTGGTGGGCAACCAGCACTGCGACGCCCAGTGTCCCCAAGACACCACCTCCTCGGCAGGAGCCATCGGTGAGTTACAGTGTTTCTGTGCAAGCGGAAAGGCGGACACGGACCCATCGCCAGCCTTTAGCTGCACAGATCTCACAGCCAGCTTGGTTGAGATGCCGAGGCCTGCTGAGGCCGCCATTTTCTCTTTCACTGGAAACATTCATGTGGAGCCGGGGCGTCTTCCGGAGCTACAACCTCTGCTAGAGGAATACGTGGAATCAGAGACTGGGCGAGCATCGCTCAGTGTTGTGGCTACATCGGTGGACGTCAGCTACACTCTCTCCAGCTATGAGGAGGAGGCCGTGCGTGAAGCACATGCCAAGTTCCTGGCAGACCCTTTCGAGGCCTGGGCCATCAAACTTCCAGGTGAGTTGGCTCGCATCACTGCGAACAGCGCGGCTATCACCAGCGAGAGCATCAGCTGCCCGGAGACATGGAACTTTCCACCTGGGCCCATCCGAAGTTTGGCCGATTGCCGGTGCTCCTATGGCCTGGAGCCTTCTGCTGACCTTTGCAGGAGATGCCCTTTGGGCACCTACAAGGGGATGGTTGGTGCTTCAAGCTGCACAAGTTGCCCGGAAGCAGGTGGCGGCCTCAACCTCGTCCGAACTACCTTACGAGAGGGTGCAGTGTCCGCTGGAGAATGCGTCTGCCCAGCCGGATACATGAGTCCGGATTCCACCAATTCTGATTGCCAGCCCTGCGAACAGGGTTTTTTCTGCTTTGGTGGCCGCCAGGAACCTTGCCCACCATTGACGATCACCCGGGCCCAAGCCGCCAGCAGCGTCACGGACTGCATCTGCGAACAGGGCTACTTCGCTTCGGTATCAGGTGTTTGCGAGCCTTGTGCTCCGGGCAGGTTTAAGCCGGAGGCTGGCAACGCCGAGTCGGATTGCCAGACATGCGCGGCTGGAACGTGGAGCAACACATCCGGAGCAACCTCACACACAGCCTGCATCCACTGCATCCCAGGATCCACCACGAAGAATGACACAGCTACAGAGGAAGATCTATGCATTCGTCCACTTCCTGGGCAGATGCTGCGGTGCACTGCTGGCCGCACATGTGAGGTTCGCATCGCAGGGCACCAGCTACATGATGGCCACCGTATGGCCCTCACCTCCAGTTCTGGCTGTAGCAGTGCCAACCAGCCTGTACCCAATGTGGCAAACGAGGGCGTGTCGCAGCCCGCATCTGATCAAGGCCAACGGTATGCCTGGCAGGGGGATACGAATGCCATGGATTTTGCCCCTCCAGGAGGCCACTACAGTCTTTGCTGGTGCGCCGACCTACCTGGGCTCAGCTGCACAAGCTTGGAAAGCTTCCAGATTGAAGCCGGGCGTCTTCAAGTCGTGGGGCCTTTCGTGAACCATAGCTTCACTTGTGTGCGAGGCCAAGACTGCACCGGATTACCTTTACAGGGTGTGGGATTTCTCACTGGGCAAGTGTCGCTGAGGACTGCCTGCGGCAAGTCAGGCTCGCTTCTCTCGCTTTCCCCCGCCAATGGGAATGCCACCGGGATCGTTGAACAGGATGCATCAAGCGTGGCCTTCGTTCTGAGCTTTGGTGTGTCAGATGCGTTCAGGGACCATGGGCTCACCCTCGATGCAAGCAATGATGGATATCGCTTATGCTGGTGTGCACGCGACAGGCCTGGCGACAGGCCTGAAAGGTCTTGTGCTTTCGATGACTTCGCTGTGGATGCTGGCAGGTTGCGGGTAGAGGGTCCACGGACAAACCAGGAGGTATCCTGCTCCGTCGGGCAGCCGTGTGCTCCCAATGGTCTCGAGTCTGTTGGTGCTGTGGCAGGTGATCGACTTATGGTTCTCGCTGCTTGTGGCACGGGCTCTGCTATGCCCGGCTTTCCTGGCGGTGGAATTGCGGAGTATGTCGCAACTAGGCTGCAGATCAAGGGTGCTTTTCATGTCAGAATCCGGTGCTTGTGGGTGCTGACTTTCATTTTCTCACTCAGGGTGCCGATGGCTTCCGGTTTCTTGGCAGCTCGGAGGTCCTGCAGTCGTCGGCTGGGATCTTTCGGCTTTGCTTTTGCCGGCCGCTTTCTACGAGCTGTGATAAGCCAGCAGACTTCAAGGCCGCCGTAGGTTTCATGACAGCTCGTGGCCCCTTCGAGCAGACAGCCCGCTGTACCGTGGGCAGCTCTTGTATCATCGAGCTGTCTGGTATGGGTTTGGCTGAGAATGATTCTTTGGTGGTTGCAAGCTCCAAATGCTCTGAGAGCATCCAATTTGGCGACCTCCAGAACCTAACCTTGCTGCGGCAGCCCATGCGCATTTACCTGGACAATGCCACGCTGCAGTGCACTTTGGGTGAGATCCTTTGGGAGGCACCGCCGGGTGTCTATCAACTGTGTTGGTGCTCGCAAAACTCGGGCTGCGGCCTAGCATCCTTCCGTGCGGCAGCAGGCCATTTGCAGGTGACGTGTCCACAGGGCTTTTATTCGCCTTCCTCGAGATGTAGAGCTTGTGGTCGGGGCTTTTTTTGCCCTGGAGGCACGACAGCAAGGTTTCCATGCATGGGGGGCGGGACGACCCTCGGAGTGAATGCGGTCGCGAGCACGGACTGTCTCTGCGACCGGGGCTACTTTGAAGAGCTTGGCACCTGCAAGCTCTGCCCCAGAGGCACCTACAAGTCCACTGCAGGAAGCTCGGAATGTGCACGCTGCCCATCAAATTTCACGACTTTCAAGCCAGGAGCCGTGTCCAACTCTTCGTGCATTGAGGAAAGCTCAAGCAGCAAAGATGTTCAGAGCAACACTTCAGAGGTTCCAGCCATAGTGTTCAACCTGTCACTTAGCCTTGCCGAAGGTGACTTTGTGCAAGAGCGAGGAATGCATTTTCTATTTCGTGTTTGTGTGTGTGTTGGTTTCACCAAAATCGCCTTGTTTCCGTGCCCTTCTGCCCCTGTCAAGACCAGGTGATGCTGATGAGGCTGGTTCCGAGTTCAGCGCCACGTTACACTTACTTTCGAAGTAGTGCAAAACTAAAACTCAGCAAAGAATTGAACGCGTTGAGCCTATTTGAGCCTCACAGATGGCTTCAAGACATACTTAGGAGACGGTGAGGAAGCAGCTCCGTGCAGCTCTGCTCAGCAGCATCTTGGCATCGGTTCGGCTGGATGCAAGTGTGGTGGAACTCAACTTCGCCAATTTCACCAATGCCAGCTTTCTGGGTCGACGCCTGGCTCAGTCCCTCATGGCAGCCGTCACCATGCGATACCCAACGACCGAAGCCGCAGAAGGTTTGCAGAGCGAGCTGGACTGGAACGCCTTACGTGATGAGCTTGGCCTTGCCCTACAGCAGGACGAGAACCTGAAAGGGTTTGAGGTGAACGCGATATCGGCTGCAGAGTTATCCTCGGTGTATGTCGTTTGCCCAGCGAATGCAGCAAAACCGCCCGGAGTCACTCTGATGCGGCCGGAGGACTGCGCCTGTAATCCGGGCTTTGGCTACGATGAAGGTGCCTGCAGGGCCTGTGCTCTAGGAGAGTACAAGTCAGCGCTTAGCAACGAGCGCTGTGAAAAGTGCCCCGAGTGGACCTCAACTCAGAAAACAGGCGCCACAGAGCAAGAGGAGTGTAAGTGTGAAGCGGGCAGGTATAGAAAGGATCAGTGTGCTCACTGCCCAAAGGGGTCTTACTGCCCCGGCTCAGGAGAAAAAGTGCCCTGTCCATTCAATTCCACCACAGAATCTGGTGGATCATCCTCCAGCGCAGACTGCAAGTGTCTGCCTGGACACCAGCCCTCAGAACCCTCAGATTCCCCGCCTTGCGAGCCTTGCCAGCCCGGCCGGTACAAGAGAAGCGTGAGCAATGAGAAGTGCTTCGAAACCTGCCCGTCCAATGCAAACAGCCCGCCGGCGTCCACCGAGCCGGGCAATTGCTCGTGCAATGAAGATCACTACGCCCAGCTTAATGATGAGGACGAGCTGGACAGATGTGCGCCATGCACCTTCAACGGGCTACGTTGTTCGGGCGGCTTCCTTCAGAACGGCAGCCATGCACAGCCTGAAGCCAAGGTAGGTTGGTACAAGACCGGCAAGACCCTGGCAGTGCAGTGCCTCGTTCGGGATGCTGCCGGCGCCAGTGTGTGTCAGGGCGAGAATCGCTGCGCCGAAGGTTCCACTGGGTGGCTGTGCGGCGAGTGCCCAGCGCAGTGGGGCCGCCGTGGGCACCTGGAGTTCTGCAGGCAATGCCCCGATTCGAGCTCGGCCTGGCTCGCCACGTCCATCCTACTGGACCTGGGACGCATCACATCCCTGAACTTTATCATGGCGGTGCTCAGTGCCCAAGGAGCCGCGAAGCAGATGAAGCTCCACACGACAATACTCCGCATTTTCCAGCGGTGGAAGGATGCCTGCTCCGTCCTCCTGAGCTGTGACTATGTTAAAGGTGCGGAGTCAAAGGTGGAGTCATGGAGGAGTCGCTAGCTATAGGTGTTCATAGGCTTCTGCTTCCTTCGGGGGGAAGGAAAAGGGGTGAGAACTCAGGAGCGTCAACCTCACCACCATGACAGCCTTCCCATGGTCCGAAGAGGAGGCGTCCGAAGAGGAGGCCTGTGACAACTGCACGAAGCAGCTGCTGTGGCCCCCGGAGGTCACCGATGCCATTGATGGCATCTTCTCGCTCTTCTCACTCGACCCCGACATGAACGTGGGCTTCATGGCGCAGTGCCACGCCCAGAAGCTCTTTGGGGACAAGTGGTATAAGGCTGCGATGCTGGCGCCGGCTGTATATTACCTTTGCCTCCCGGTCCTGACCATCCTTGCCACACTCCTCATCTGCAGCATCGTGGTCTATGTTGTGCTTCCTTTGGCGAGAATCTCTGGCCTCCTCTACCGGAAGGAGGCTGAGGCACTGGCCGACCGAGTTCTGGAAGTGCTGAAGCGTAAACGTCCGAAGGCCGCTTGGCTGAGTATTGTGCGAGACGGAACCTCATTCTGATCATAAGTACTGAGCCATTTCGGTACCAGACAGGATTCCACAGAGCCCGGCATCGCGAGGCTGGTGACACTGGTGGCGCAGCTGTTCTTGGCTCTCCTTTCTCACTTGCCACACATGTGTATACCAAGTTTTTACGAAAGCAAAGCTAGTTTTGGGCGGAGGGTCAGAGCATCTCAGGTGAATGAGAGCTTGAAAGGGAAAGCTTTGGAGGAAAAGGACTTGAGCGACGTCCTGGACGCTCTAGACCCCACGAAGTTGGCAAAAGGGCCAAAGGTGGAAACGTTGCGACATGCCGTAGTGGAGACGGGGGCCAGCGGCGTGTCCGTAGCGGAGCTGCTAGAGACAGACGATTGCAAGATAAAGGAGGCCATATGCAAACACTTGAGGCCAGAAATGTATCTAGGGCTTTTCAAGCCGGAGCCGCCCCCGCGGCGACTCCTGTGGGACAGCGTGCCGGTAATATGGTTGACTCTGATGGCCTTGTGGCCCGACTCTTGAATGCCATAGGTGCTGCAAGCCAGAACTTGCATGTTACAATGTTGGGCTTCTGAGCCCACTAAGGAGCTGTTGGAGAAGTTTCTGCACATGATCCGCTGTGCTCCCATGGTGGAGGACAGAACGGACGAACTCAAGAGTCCTGTTCATCGGCTTCTGCCGCACCCTGACGCGGCTTGGCTGCAGCTGTGTGGAGCGCTTGACGCATGCTGTGAACTCCCAGTTGCAGTGTGGGTTTTTTTTTCTCCCAGAAACCCCTCGGGGCCTCGGGGGCCGGGTTCTCCTTTAGGTCTTCAACGGGCGGGTTGCGATGCGGATGATACGGGGTGCGGCGCGGCAAGCAAATGCGGAAAAGACGTGGCCGACCACTCGACGGAAAAGACCCGAGCACGCGACGGATGTTGGACGGGAAGACTTCGGGGTGCGGCGCGGGCGGTCGGGGGACACCAATGGAGCGGGGGTATACAGCCGTGAGAGGGGTCCGCGAGACGATGTGCGGCGCCGGTGGGGCGGAGGTTTCGTCGGGAGGTGCCCTTGCGGGGTCCAAGGAGGGGTCCGCGAGATGCTGTGCGGCGCCAGTGGGGCGGAGGTTTCGCCAGGCGAGACGGAGTTGTAGTACAAGATTAGTACTGCAATCGCGCTTTCGGTGAGTTGCCTGGATTGTCATGGTCAACAGCACCTGCAGCTCCGCACTCGCTCTGCGGTGCGGCAAAACAATTAGGCTACAAGTACTTCTGCAGACGGTTTTGGGGTTCTCAGGTTGACCTTGTTAGTTAGGGCCCTGCTGCCCGAGTCTGCTGGTAGCTTCATTTGCTGAAGTGGTGTGGGTGCAGCTGTCCACATGAGCCTGACATGGCAGGTGTTGTGCCTGCGCGACAATCATGTTCCCCTAGCCGCGATGTCATTGTGTGGGCTCGTTACTTGGTGCTTTGGCTTGCCACTGGCCCTCTTTGCTCGGATCTTATTGCTGAGACAGAACAGGCAGGACCACGAAAATCGCCGGAGGTATGGCTACTTCATTCATGGATTAGAGCCTCGCTTTTGGTACTGGGATCTGGTGGTGAAGCGGGCGGACATTGGCATGATGCTGGTGGTGGCCTATACCTCCGTTGCAGATGATGTGAGGGCCAAGCTGCTGTTGTTTCCCATCATCTCAGGCAGGGTTTCTCAACCGCTGAGTTCTGTGTCGAGATCCCGCTTCTCATGCCTGGCCCAGGCATCCAACTTGGCATCACCACCTGGGTCAGGCCGTATGCCAATCCCCAAAGTGAGATCCTCGACTTTCTGGAGTTTGTGCTACTGTGCGTGCGCTTCGTGCTCTTCAGCACCGTCGCTGCGTTGCTAATCTTCTTGCCTTCGTCCAGCGTGGTGTGGATTTGGGCTACGTTCTTGATTGTCTTGCTCGCAGCGGCTGCTGCCTATGCAGGACTGCACTTCCTGGCCCAGGTCCTTCGCACCGTGTCGAACGAGCTGAAGATGGACACGGAGCAAGAAATGCAAGAACCGCAGATTGACTTCCCGAAAGTGCAAGGGACAAAGGAGAAATTGATGAAGGTGGCCCGAATATCGGTGGATTGGCTGCGGACAATGTTCGAACCTGATGAGCAGCTCAAGTTCCGCTGGTCCGCGGACCAAGCGATGCCAGACCTCTCGGAACCCAATGAGAAAAAGGAGAGGCTCATCCCACGACTTCGCAGCTCTCAGGCAGCAGACAGCTTAAGCCACAGGTCAGGTCCAAAAGGTCCGATTTTCCCAGCACCCTGCCATGATCCTGATACGTGTGCATGCTAAGCAGCAAGGCCTCGTGCCTTGCAGCAATGCTCGGCTGTTGTGGGCCGCCTCGGCAGCCGGGCTGTCCCACGTGGGGTGAATCCCAGGAAGGGTCTGAACGGGGTCCGGGGTTGAAGGGGGGGGGTCCCAGAAGGCCGGATTTGGAGGAATCCAAGCGGTTTGGGCAGGTCGCACAGGGGGGGGGGAGGGCATCTGAGCAAAGTTTTAGACGCTGCTGTTTTCACCGAGGCGAATTCAGCAGGCATCTTGGTTTTTACATTGGCTTGTGACTGCATGGAATCTGAGGATGGATGTCGATGATGTTGCGACTTGATATCTTCACTCAGAAGGGTGCGGCGATAAAAGCAATTCAGGAGTTCAACGATCTTTGCATACGACGCGTCCCTTACAAGAAGCTCCCGACTACTCGCATGCTGTGCGCCCTTGCTGCGTCGAGCCAAGAGCTGCCAGATAAAGTCAAAATCGCGGACGTCTCCAACAAGTGGAAAGAGTCCCTGAAGAAGCTTGTGGAGGAGAAGAAGAAGAAGTGGGAGATCGAGTCACATGTCTTCACCAATGCAGTGCAGATGTTCGCGGTGCTCCCAGAAGAAGAGGCGTCGAAGCTGCTGGAGTTTGTGCAAGACACCGCTGGAGACTTACCTGGGAGACTTTGACCTGATAGGTTTCTTCGACTCAAGGTGTTTCTGATGTCAGCACGCAAGCCAATGCTAGATCGGACATTGCAGGCTTTCTTGCGTGGGCACCCGTTGTTGGAGGGACGGCTTTGGTAGCCTGGGTTTCAGGGGGATTTAGGGGTAGATTCGGGTAGATCTACCAGCAGAGTTGAAGATGTGTGACTGCTACAGGTAGCACTCATACGCAGAGACAGGTGCCGGGAGTCTATGTGCACTGTAGGCCCTGTCGGCATCCTCAACACCAGTGCACCATCGAAAATCAGAGCATCGCGAGGAGGAAGACTGCTCCTTTTGAGACTCAGATAGGCCGCACTAGACTCCGAGGTCGAGCGGGAGGACGTCCACCACGTGGCCATGGAGCCCCCAGTGGCCCTAGCGCCTTGAAAGCAGATCCTAGGCCTCTCAAGCCCCGCGCAAATCCGCACTGTCCATTGCTGGTTCGGAGGGAGCTACAAGAAGGAGGCTTTTAGGGATCTGTAGAGGACTTCTAGATTCTAGGCATTGAAATCCTAGGCCCCGCTGGGCGGAGAAACACATGTAATCGAGGAGCCATGAAATTGGTCGGGTTGCTCCTAAACCCTAAACCCTAAACCCTAAACCCTAAACCCTAAACCCTAAACCCTAAACCCTAAACCCTAAAGCAAGGACCTGTAGGAGGCAACTACAGAGCGAGGCATCTAGGGAGCTCCGGGCAGGCCCCTGAGCATCTTGAATGCTTCATGCTGGGATGGACGCGGGGGAGGGGGGGAGCTATTTCTCTTGTGGCTTTCCTCTAAAAGGGGCCCTGGCGCCCTTCTACTGGGTCTACAACGGACTCGTGGGCATTAAGACATCCCGGCGGAGGTGCGAAGACATAGGAAGAGCAAGACGGTCTGTAATGGGGAGGGGACGCACTAGGAGGATCCTAGGAGGCGGACGACAGAGCGTGAACGACCTCCAGAGACTGTAGAGGAATGTAGAGGACTTCGAGGCATTGAAATCCTAGGCCCCGCTAGGGAGAAACCCATGTAATCGAGGAGCCATGAAAATTGTCGGGTTGCTTGCAAGGACCTACAGGAGGCAACTGCTCCATTTTGAATGCTTCATGCTAGAATGGACGCCGGGGGAGGGGCAGCTAACCATTTTGTCTGCGGCTTTCCTCTATGAGAGGCCTGCGCAGTTCGCGTACGGGACTACAACGAACTCGTGGCCATTATAAGACATCCTTGGTCTAACGCTGCATTCACGGGTGGGCCTGCGAGGGTCATGCTTGGCAAGGCACCTCCACCGCCCACATCGCCCGCATCGTCTATGCTCCGGGCGAAGGCGAAGGTGCGAAGACATCATAGGAAGAGAAAGACGACTTTAACCATTTTCAGAGGGCTCCAGTGCTAAGAAGAGAGATGCATCGGTAGCATCGACAGAGCAGCGCCGACAAAACAATGAAGTGGCAGGCACCGGGTAGTCACCGAACCTCCCCGCCCCGTGCATATCTGTGCTATCCGTTGTTAGAGCCTTTCCCGCAATATCCTGCGCTATTTTCTGCCACAAATGTGCAATTCCGCTGAGGGAGCTGCAAGAAGGAGGCTTTTAGGGACCTGTAGAGGACTTCTAGGCACTGAAATTCTAGGCCCCGCTAGACATGCCATCGGGGGCCCCGCTTAATTTCGGGTTGCTTGCAAGGACTTAGAGGAGGAAACTAGAATGTAGCATTCAAGATGTCGCACCATGCTTAGGAGCCCCCTGAGCTCCCTAGATGCCTCGATTTCTTGCAGGCCGAAAATACGCGGGCTCTTCGATTGCATGTCTTTCTCTGCCTATAGCAGGGCCTAGGATTTCAATGCCGAGAAGTCCTCTTCCGATCCCCAACAGCCACCTTCTTGTAGCTCCCTCCGAACCAGCAGCGGAGTTGCAAATTTGTGGCAGAAACTACTCCGGGACAGGCTCACTTTTCGGATATGCACGGAGCGGGGGGGGTTAGGTGGCTACCCGGAAGCCTGATTACGCCATTGTATGCCTGCAATTACATTGTTCTTAGCATGGACAGAGCAGCGCCGACAAAACAAAAACAATGAAGTAGCAGGGATAAACGGGCTACCCAACCTCCCCGCCCATATTCTTGCTACCCAAAAAAGTGAGCCTCTCCCATTTTTGTCCTCTGAATGCAACGAATCCATGCGCATCAGCCCTGAAGGAGGCTGAAGCAACGCTCGAGATGCCGAGCAACGTCAGTGAGGAAGCGCCACGATATGGATCTTTGCCAGGTTCTATAGTTTGCTAGACTAGAGGGGTCCAGCGTGTTTCGAATCTTTATCTCCTTCAACTTAATGACTGAATGACTCTGCGTGCGGGCTTTCTGGCTTTTTGCACCTTCCCGCGGTCCTCAGCGGATTGGAATAGACTCGAATAGACAATGCAGCCAAGCTTAGTGCAGCTTGCTATGAGAGCGCTCTGAGTCGCTGGCTGGCTAGCTCCTCAAGAATTGCCGGGTTGTGCACGCATGGACATACCGTGGCATACCCCAAAAGGGTCTTGCCAAGTGCAAAACAAACGTTATGACTAATTAGTTCTTATGACCCTAGCCCTATAGCCCTGAATCTGAATCTGAATTTCACTCTTCATGACCCTGAGGTACTGCCTGAACCATGTCAACCAGACTAAAACATTGCTGGAGCCAGGGCGAATTTGGAGGTTTATGGTTCGGTTTAGGGTTATGGAGGACAGTGATGTGGCAAGAATGCTAAAGCATGGTAGCATTAGTTCTCGTAGTGATACATAACTAGGCTGAAATCGTACGTTCTTAGCCTTGAGCTTCAAAGCCGTAGCACACGCTCGCACTGCAGCACTCGCCCTGCAACTCAGAGCGGAGCACCGACATGGTCTCAGCGTCCTTGCGGTGAACTACACCGGGCGAAAGAGCCGCCCGAGCAATGACAGTCCAAAGCGGCAGTCCAACAGTACAAAGCCTGGCCCGACGAGGTCCTGCTCAACCCCAAAGCCGCCTCAATGGAAAGCAGCCAGGACGGCAGGGCAGATCAATGCCCGGAAAACACAGAACTGACAGAACTCATCCAGGCCTAAGGTAGCCCAGTCCTTCTCAGCAGGGTGACCCTCGCAGCCGCAGCCACAACAAGGCCCCGAAGTGGAGCCAGCACAGGGTATGAAATTGCCCATGTGTCAAAGGTGCCCATACTCAAAATGGACCTCAGCGACAATGCAATCAGCGACCGAGGACGGAGCATAGCCTTCATCCGACCTGCCTGGGCGGAAGTTAAGCTTGGGAAGCACCACTATGAGCACCACTATGAGGCAATCTAGCATGGACAGGCGTCGCACATCTGCGAAGCAGATGGACACAATAGTTCCTTCGACGGTTTCCTGCCGCACGGCAGTCGGAATTGTCAATGTTCATCACCAGAATCCCGCCGAGCGGATAGTTCGGCCAGTGCTCCTTCCAGGGTTGTGAATCCTTTGCCTACAGTGGGTATGTCGATGTCTACCTGCGAAGAGTGATACGAGTGTAGACATTCCAAATCCAGACCCCAGGGAGCAATACAGCAAAGTTAGTCATAGCTATGCTTTGCCTATCCTTGCAGTCGGCCACCTGCTTGTAATTGCACCCGAAAAGAGAACCCAGCCTCTGCGTTATATGAACCTTGCTGGGTTGCAAATATGCGAGCGCAGAGATCTCAGCAGCACTCCTTCCATCATCTGGCTTTATACAGCTTAACTGTACGCCCATGATTCTTCTAACATTGTTCTGCAGTTCGCGAAAGGTCCGCAGCAAAGATGCAGACAAAAAAGACGCATCAATCCCCATAGCCTTTTAGGGCCTTGGGGGGTGCGGCGAAGAGTCTGAATTTGCACCTGGAATGCCAATCCGTCCCTCACTTCCAGGTGCTTGAGAGAATCCGTTGGGCATTGCCGCCTCGTTCTGGATGTTGAATCATGCATCCACGCGATCCTCTGTGAGTTTTGGAACCCAGATCCGTAAAATGAGACTGCGACACTGAGACGACTTCACGTCGAACGGCCCCCGGATTTCGGGGGATCAGGAAGTTAGGGTTGTGAGATTTAGTGTTTGTAGGCTTTGCAGCTTAGGGGAGCTTGGGCAAGTTTCGGTTTAGGCTTATAAGGTTTAGGGTTTAAGGGTTCAGGGGGGCATCTTGGAGTTGGAGTAGCAGTGGCCGAGGTGTTGTTGAAACGTTCAGGTGTTGCAGCCTCCAAAAGGCAAAATCCTGGGAGCTGTAGTAGTCCCCTAGAGTAGGCTCACCAGCTTGGGTAAAGGTTTTTTCGGAGGATAGATTGATCACAGCTGGGGCACACGGATGTTGTAAGGCCGACAAAAAGTTCAGCAACATGCAGCAACACGGGCCTTTTGAGTTGAGCGAGATGGTGGCGTTGCTCCTGCTACTGCTCCTCCTAGGACTACAGGACTACGTAGTCACAAGCGTTGCCACAACATGATCTTGGGGCTGAGTGCGTGCTAGGAACATCAAACGCTGGATTCTTTTTTGCATGCTGTCCCAAAATCTTGGCAGGGGCAGATATCCTGTGTCCACACAAGAGACCTTGTTTTGGGGGCCACACTGAGACGTCCAGACATCGATGCAGAATGATGATGTTCGGGGGGGAAATGCACTTCGTCTCAGACAGCTTCTTTTTTTCGGACGATGTACGTCTAGGGTTTTGTTCTTGCAGGGCTTGTGAGGGACGCAGGGACCTGCGGGTTTTGTTTTTTGTTTTTTTGGCTTCGGGTCGACGGGGGGAGGGGCGGGGCAGGATGGGCAGCGGGATAGCAAGTACAAGCCCCAAGCAGTAGCGGCAAGTTGTCTTTTGACTTCACAATTGTGGCCAAAGCAACGCAGAAAAAGCATCGTACACTGAAGATGCCGAGTCAACATCTTCGACGTGCACCAGCCTGAAGCAAAAGTGCTCTTGCTTACTTTCTGCTTGACAAACACGTGGGCCACTGAAAGAACATGAAACCGTGCCGAGCCCCGAAATACAGACAGCAAAAACAGCGGCAGAGCCCTGAAACAGAATCTCTAGAATCGTGAATTTCCCGCAGTGAAAGCTACGAAAGCGCAATGCGAGACTTACGTTCTTCAGCAGAAGCTCACCACATTAGTGGCCCAGCCTCATTTTTGCTCATGTTTGCATCCTGGCCTTTGCGGCTCAAGGGATCAGGCTACCATCGCCCCATCAATATTTCAAGGCCAGATGGGAGGGAGAGCGCAAGTGCGAGCAAGAGAGAGGCAAGCCAAAAGATGACCTCTGATCGCGGGGGAACGGGCAGGAAAACCAGGACCGGAGGTTTAGGGTGGACCTGTTTGCAACGCAAGTCTCCGAGCACATTTACTCAAGGCGACGTCATGCGAAGTCTCAGCTCAGGGAATGAGAGAAGGGAAGTCAGAGGGAAGGGAGGGAGTGAGAGGACACACAATCGGATAAAGTTCCTTTTGCAAGGGTTCACTGGGGAGGCACAGGCTCGCGATGAAGTTTTGCGTGCTGCTTGGCCGCAATGATGCAAAGATCTTTGTTTGGAGATTTTAGACTGCTAGGTTCCGACGAACTTGCCCAGAAACTTTATTTGGCATCCCTCCCTTCGCGGTTGCAGAGGCTTGTTACGAAAGCTCCCTTCAAACTTGAGGGTAGCCTTTCGTTTAACACCCAGCGTATCGAGGCTAATCCTGGGCTGGTGCGGTGTTCTTGGGCTCGGTTCGCGGGAGCCTTTTTTGAGCAGTGTTCGCTGGAGGCCTGGCAGCCGATTTTTGGAGAAGCCAAGGTCTCCTGATGCTCATGATGCGCGGGTTCTTGTGGGTTCTGGGGGAGTGGGGGGGGGCGGGTGCGGGGGCACATGCCTTCATAGAAAATTGCCTGGGCAGCCCTTTCTGTAGAACCATCTAGCGAAGTAAAAAATCGGCTCCCGATGCACCGATATGTCCACAAACCCTAACCCTAAACCCTAAACCCTAAGCCCTAAGCCCTAAACCCTGAACCCTGAACCCTGAACCCTGAACCCTGAACCCTAAACCGGCATAGGATCGGGTAGCGTGCAAAGCACCTGCCAAATCGGTGCTACGGACTTCCCACATGTTCGGAGAAACTCCCCCCCGTCTGGGTGCAATTAATCACCTCGCCTCTTGCATGTCAACTGACGGAATGCCCAAAGAGGGCCTTGTGACTGGGCGGGGTCGATTTGTGTGCAAAGGGGTGTGCTGACCCTTCGAGTTCTAAGGGCTATGCCGGTCTCTCCAGGCGAAAGGTCTCCTGCATACACTCCGAATGACATAGTCCTTTTTCTCACAACAAATCCCCAAAACTTCGAGGGCAGGCGTATAGAGGTTTTGTCGAAGATTTGTGACCCACCATGCTGCTTTAGGCAACATGTGCATTTGCACGTGTGTGCTTCAGCATCACGCCAAAAAACTGCCATCTTCGCGCTACCGTTCTGGAGCCCTAGATTTTTGTCTTCAGCAAATACAGAAGGGTTTGGAGACTTCATGCTCATGCTTCCTATAGGTTTCTGTTGGGTTTGCCCTACACTCTACACAAACCCTAAACCGTCCCCAGGGCTTGCGAGTCCAAGGCTCGGGATAATTTCAGCTTGAAGGCTTAGGGCTTTGGGTTTGGGGCTCACCTATACTTTGAATCCTGAGCTCGCGGTATCTCGCGGTCATGTGATTGTGAATGACAGCTTTGAATGATTAGTGAGCTTTCGGCCCCGCCGCACTGAGGGCGCAAGTGCTCCTGGCTCTGGCGCAGGCAACGCTCTTAACAATGCCGCAGCAAAGAGGGCACTGCTACTGAGGGGCGGTGGGGAGGGGGATATTTATGTATTCTGTTGCGCCTGCGTATGCACTTCGTTATTTCTTGATTGCTTCTGCCAATCTTTCCGGAATTATTTTGTTGATTGTGTTTTCTTTTTCCTTTCTTTGTTTCGTTATTTATGTATTTCTTTCTCTCTTTCTTTGTTTAATTATTTACCGTTTCGTTCTTTCTTTTTTTGTTTTCTTTCGGCTCTTTGTGCTCTTTATGTTCTGTGATGTTCCTTTCTTCATTTTTTTTTCTGGCGCGATGTCCAGGATGCCCCTTCATGAAGGCCCCGCAATCGAAGAAACTGTGAAAATCATGGAAGGAAAGCAAGGAGAATGAACAAAAAACTTTATTTCTTCATGTGTGTCTGTTCTCTTTCTTTGTTTATGTATTTCTTTCTTTCCTGTTGTTGTCTTTCTTTCTCTACTTCTTTCTTATGTATGTATTTCTTTTGTTCTTTCG